AGCTCAATGGTTGGGGCCAGGGGAGTGATACAGCTCAATGGTTGTGGCCAGGGGAGTGATACAGCTCAATGGTTGGGGCCAGGGGAGTGATACAGCTCAATGGTTGTGGCCAGGGGAGTGATACAGCTCAATGGTTGGGGCCAGGGGAGTGATACAGCTCAATGTTGAACACCACACGTTCCCTGAAACACGACCAGTCCAGATATTTGCCACAAAAAACCCGTTAATAAATAATACAACAAATTATCCTAGTTGGCAATGGGTGGGTCTATATGTGACGCAATTTTAATTTGTTTTTTTCCTAATCCTAGTTGGTAATGGATGGGTCTATATGTGACGCAATTTTAATTTGTTACTTACCTAATCCTAGTTGGCAATGGATGGGTCTATATGTGACACACTTTTAATTAATTTATTTCCAAATCATAGTTGACAATGGATGGGTCTACCTGACACGCTTTTAATTTGTTTCTTTCCAAATCCTAGTTGGCAATGGATGGTTCTATTTGTGACACACTTTTAATTTGTTTCTTTCCAAATCCTAGTTGGCAATGGATGGTTCTATTTGTGACACACTTTTAATTTTTTTCTTTCCAAATCCTAGTTGGCAATGGATGGTTCTATTTGTGACACACTTTTAATTTGTTTCTTTCCAAATCCTAGTTGGTAATGGATGGGTCTATATGTGACGCAATTTTAATTTGTTACTTTCCTAATCCTAGTTGGCAATGGATGGGTCTATATGTGACACGCTTTAATTTTTTTTATTTCCAAATCCTACTTGGCAATGGATGGGTCTACCTCTATGTCTTGTCACGTTGATAATCCAATCATACCACTTAGTATACAGAGAAAACACTTGCTATGTCACTAGTGACTCCGCGGGCCGGAGGGACCGAAGCCGTGTGGCCCGTGGCCCGTAGTCTAACGATCCCTAGGCTGTTCTAGAGTACATGTCCCTTTTCCACATTTGACGCACTTCCCTTCCACTGAAGAGGTGAAGACTGGACCAGTTAAAAGGGTTATTGAGTTGGGTTTTTACTGGCTTTGACCTACTGGACAAAGAATCCTATACTTTAGAAAAAATCACTTAGCTAGTCTATACCTTTATACTTCTCTCGGTTAGCTAGTCTATACCTTTATACTTCTCTCGGTTAGCTAGTCTATACCTTTATACTTCTCTCGGTTAGCTAGTCTATACCTTTATACTTCTCTCGGTTAGCTAGTCTATACCTTTATACTTCTCTCGGTTAGCTAGTCTATACCTTTATACTTCTCTCGGTTAGCTAGTCTATACCTTTATACTTCTCTCGGTTGCAAACCCGGATACACCTTATTTATCATAGATTGTGGTTGGTGGTGAAGAATTGTTAATTACGTTTCCGTCATAAAGTGGGAAGTGGGTTAGGTCTGTTCATAAATAAGATTTCTCATTTCCCAGTTTCTTGTTTGTTTATCCCGGGACTTTCTTACACACCTGTCCATGACAATGATTTTGAAACACCTGTCTGACAACCTACCTGTGAAACTTGTCTCTTTTCCCAAATGCCAACTCCTTCATGACCCTGTACAACCTGAAATGACAAAGAGAAAACCATCGTTGACGGCCAAAAATAGGTTGACTGTTTTGCACTCCCGGTCCCTACCAAACAACCCCACGCCATTTTTTACAGAGTTGCTAAATCAGTTTTCAGATTCACATCCAACAATAACTTCAAACATCTCATAAACAAATATGTGGACGTGGTTGGACACCTAAACATAATATGAAATGCCTTCGTTCATTTTTGCCTGCTACAGTAATGTAAGTGGTATAACCAGTGGGGCAGCCAGCATGTGACATTAATTTTAAGGGGGAAAAAAAATATTTTTGTTCTAAAAATAAAAGGGCATTTTTAATATGAGGTCATGTAACTGGTATATTTCATATGATCGAAAAATCGTACATATTGACTTCAGCTTATTGTGTGGCATTCTGTTCAGTGTTTTATATACCCTGCGTTTGGCCACACACGTTTAAAGCAAGCAAGAAGAAATTTAAGTTAGGATATCAGCCGAACACGCCGATCTCGAACCCTGCTGATCCCCGAACCGAGCCCGAACTTCAACGTCACGGAGTACGAACCAAACCGAATGAAGCTATCGCCACCAAAAATGTGTTACGGATATGGCACATCACTACTTACAACAGAAATGTTTAAAATCTTAATGAAAAATAGAAAAAGATTTTTTTTAAAACCAAAATGATATCTTTTAGTCACCCCCCCCCCCCCGGTCCCGCCAACACCCCTTTTAACACAAAGGCTCGATTTGTATTTACGCTCACAACTTTTAAACACAACTATGTGGCCAACTCTTTTTTATCCAGTGTCAGTCTCTTGTAGCGTTTAAAAAACAAACCTATTTGAATTGTGTCTAAATCTTATACACCTTGTGCAAGAGTGGTGTCAGGAGGCGTTCTGGGTTGAGAAGATTAATAAGGCATTCCGAGTCGTCTTTTTCAAAAAGCATACACCATTAAACCCAATACAATTTATTATTTCATTAAATTTTAGCTACAAACGCGTCTATTTATATTTCTAAACCCCAAAGTACTATGATAGCTAAAGAAAATATATTTTCATCTTTTTGGTGCATTACTATATAACACTTATGATTATACAAATGTAATAGATCTATATGTACTTTAAAAATTAATTAATTAAAAACTAAGTTCAAATTGAGATAAATACCGAACTTCTTGGGTTGCCAGACCGAGCCCAAGCTTTAGTTGTGACTTACACGAATGAGAACTTAAATTATTACCCAACTGAACCCGTAGCTAAGTTAATACTGCTCTGAGCCCGACCTTCTAAAAGAGGGTTGGAGTCCCATCCCTAGAGGAACTCACAAAGAAGAACTCACAAACGATTGGAATTAAAGTTTTGTTTCAAATTAAATAAAAATACATACGACAATTGATATGGTTTTTTTTTTTAAACGGACATCCTAAACTTCTTAACTTTCAGACTTTTACAGACCAGACCTTTTTATGTCAATGTTTTAACGGAATGTCTGTCAATGTACTGACGGCTGACAATCCTAGATGTATCGCCAAAAACATCCAAATCTGCATGTCAAATGTCTATAGCGGGAAGTCAGCATCTGATATTCTAGAGCAGTGGTTCTCAACCTTCCTAATGCCGCGACCCTTTCACACAGTTCCTCATGTTGAGGTGACCCCCAAGCATAAAATTATTTTCGTTGCTACTTCATTAATTTGTGTTTATCGATGGTCTTAGGCGACCCTTGTGTAAGGGTCGTTCGACTCCCAGAGGGATCGCGCCCCACAGGTAGAGAACCGCTGTTCCAGATGATTGCACTATGTGGAGTTCAAACCATCACGTTTAGAGTGGAGCTGACTCGGATTGATGGAACAATTTATCAACCGCTCTAGCTTTAAAAGA